ACTGAGCTTTCATGTCTGTGGGTCTCACCAAGGATGATAAACACAAGGAAAACAATCTCTATGAAATATAGCCCTAATCTGGATGGTGCTTAATAAAACAGTACATTAAACTTACAGTTCATGTTCAAGATTACTGTTCTGCAGGTTTCAGTAATATTATACTGTACAATTTCATAATCTGAAGCTACAGAAACATTATATAACTTCTTAAATGATTTACTGTCTTCAGCACTAACTACTTTAACTCAAGTCTCCTAATTTACTTCTATTGTAAAGGAGCTGTTTAAATTTGACACAGGTTTAAATTTTTTTTTGCTGTTGCTCAGTATAACCCACAAGGATGCATTTGGTAACATCCAGAGGCTTTCTGAATAAAATCAAATCGCATTTTATATAATATCATACAACTGGTAAGTCTTAAACCTTCCCACTAATCCTTTTTTTTTTTCTCCACAGACTGACTGGATAAGTAGTCTTTAAGCTTTTTCATACTGAAAAAAAAACCAGGTCTTTTGGTGTCAGAGCTTCCAGGATTAAACATTCTTTCCAGTTGTTGGCTCATGGCCTGAAGATCCTGCACTTTCAAACTTATCCCATTCTGGCTAGTTCAAAGATCAGGAAAATGAAGCCATCTTCTTTGCAGCCATAATCCACGCCCCATGCTGTTCGATACTTAAGAACATCTCAAAAGCAAACTACCTTGTTTCAGCTCCCAGCAGGAGCTCAGCAGGGCACTGGATCACATGACTGCAAACCCAGCCTAGTCAGGTGACTCAAGAGCTAATCTGATTTGGTGACTATAAAACTTTAATCAGTACAGTCTAATACCGTCACATTCCAGAAGTGATGAGAGGAGCAGCTTGGCGAGGTAACAGCAAACACTAATAAGATTATGAATCAGAACTGCCACAGGATGTGGTTTTTTAGTTCTCTATCCCATACACAAACCCACCAGAAAAATATTACTGAGAACTGGTCAGGCAGACAGGTTTTGAAATAAAACGGGCTGATGTGATTTATTCCAAAACCAGCAGCATTTTGTTTGCTGCCACAGAAGGACAAGAGCACACACTGAATCTTGTAAGGCACAACTAAAATCTAGCAAAACCATCCCTCTGAAATCAAAGACAATAAAATACATACATCAATAACCCCATCTTGTTGGGAAACACACAGCACTGGTGGCAATAACTGGAGGTCCCACGAGTTTCCAGGGGCAACCCACGTGGGCTGCACGTGGTGAACAGAGCAAGGCCATGACAGGAGTGTTCCCTCTTACCAACCAAAAATATCTAAAGCAACTTCAAGTGCTGCTGTTTTGGGGGCTTTCACCAACTCTGCAGGCTACAGCTTTTGAAGAGAAATGTCAAACATACCTGCAGATCAAATTCCAAGCATACCCTTTTCCCAAATGTTTGGATTGCTCTCTCACTTACCATTGTATTCCCTCCCTGGTTTTTTTCACCCAAAATCCTCTTAATCCATTTTAGAATCTGCGTTTTGCATAGGCAAGCAGCTGAATTGGATCAGCAAGTTTACAAGAACATGAAAACAGAGCCTGACTTTTTCATAGCCCAGTCAGGATTTGCAGCTAAAACTGACATAAAGGTGTTGTACACGACACGTGAACTGCGAGGGAGAGAATTTGATTATTCCACAGTTTAAGACATCCCAATATAGACTGAAATGTTTAAATCTCTCTGACGAGGAATAACTTGCTAAGACATTTCCTGATCATTTGAAACAGCCTCCATGTTCCTTAGTTTCTCTGCATTTCCATTCCATCCCTAGGGCAGGAATAGTAGGACTTCTTTACCCACTAATGTGCATTTCAGGATAAGGGAGTTTTTTTATATAGTAATGTCCTGTGGTTTTGCTTTCTATCAGACAGCAGATCCTAAAGGGATCTTCTGCAGTGGCTGGAAACTCACCTTTTGGAAACTGGACGTGTGAATATAAGCAAACTTTTAGTATCATTGAGAGAGAGTGAAAAAGCTATTATTATTCCTGAAAATGAAACATCATTGACTTAAAAATACTTAAATTAACTCCATAATAGTAGTTTCTTCTCTATTTGTCTGAAATGAGATACAGGTAAAGTCAGATGTGGTAAGCAGTATTTTTATAAGCAAGTATTCAGTTGTAAAGCTTTATTGTATTAAACTGCTAAAATTAAAAAAAATATATATTTGTAAAATAGCTTATTTCCACCTGCTTCCTAAATCAGTAGGACTTGAACTGTATCCATCATGTTAAAACAGAGGAAAAAATCAATATCACAAACAGAATTACTGCCACATTTTAAACATTCAGCTCTGATACTGAAAAAACTGCTTCTACTTAGGCATTATTTTTGTAATATGTGAAACAGTCTCTGCTGCTACAAGTTACATTGTAAGAGACAGTTTCTCTATATTTTAGAAGGACGTCAAGTGACAAAATTTGTAACAAAAAATACCACTTTGTTGGAAAATACATGAAATTCTGAAATATCTCCAAGGTTCACAGTCAGCAAGAGCTGGAAGGTCCAAACCCACTGTGTGTCTACGCCCTTTTCCATAAAGCATCAACCCAGCAGGATGACATAAAATTAAACTCTAAGAAGGCCAATCGACAGTTCCAAGTCAGATTAGTGACCTGAGTCAGCTCAAGAAACAACCTGACAAGCACCAGGGTTTGCTGGAGTGAAAACAGAGGAGGAAAAGGAGGTGAGACTTCCTCTTTTTGCAACATTGACCTACTACATCAGCCCCCGAATGACTGAGATTTCCAGGAAACCTGCACTTTCTTCAAGAAATACTAAAACTGGTAGAAGCAGCTCCAGTTTGCAAAATACTTTCATTATGTGGGCTCCAATATGAAAGAGAAATGAAAAAAAAAAAAAAAGAGACCATTATTTTGCCTCCAGTTTTAATTGCCCTGCAGGAAAGTGAGGTAAAAAAAAAAAAAAGGAAAAAAAAAGTTTCAAAACTGCATGTCAGCCAAGCAGCAATGAGAAATGGAAGAACCAAAGAGAGGGCTCAGCCCTGGGTGTATGTTTACATCTATCCTGTAAAGTTAATACAACTTAGAGCAGTGTATTTTATTTCAAGAACAAGCAAGGAAATACTTTGTGTCGCTGAAGTAACAAAAGGAAATTGTACTGCTTGGAATGAGGAAAAAAACCCATCCCTGAGACAGAGTGTATGTGGTCAGTCATTTGATTCCCTGTCTGACAGGTAAGCAGTGACTTAGCAGAGACATCCCCATGGGGTTACAAGCTTCTGTAACAAACTCCACCAACAGATATACTGCAGTTTTTAAGTGTTACACACATCTCCAAGCACTCACACCTGAAATTATTTAGGTACTTGGACTCCAGAATGACAGTACAGTAAGAAATGGAAGAGTTACTGTGATGTTTTAGAAGTGGAGAACTCTCTGTAAATTTAAGCCTCCTCATTCAATTAACGCAGAATTTACACCCCAGGATCCCACTAAAGGATTCTTGAACCCTTTTAAAAGAACTGTGAATTATGCTTTAGGCCTTTATTTTGCTAGGCTTTCCTATTCCAGATATCCACAACCCATTAGTCAGATATTCCAGAAGTGAAATTTAATAGGTATATTTATTTCTTGCCACGTTTTCAAACGCGCCCTTTGATTTTCTCCCCTAAGGGCAGATACTTCTTACACTGAACAATAAATTATTACAGACATTATGACAAAACGCTAAGACAACCTCTTGATACTCATGGCAAGAAATCTTACAGTGCTTAACAGGCAAAGAAGCTTGGCCAGCAGCACAAGGAATGCCATTTCACTAGGAAAACATAATACTAAAGCTTCAAGCTCCTAAATTTGAATAAGATATGAAGGAAAGACTCTGAGGTTCACAACCGCCCACCTAGCAGCCCTTTCAAGCTGCTAATATTTAACATGAGGATTTCTTTTTTTTCTTATTAATATAAACAGAAAGTTTCAAGAACCACAGGTGTTCAAAAACGTGGCTTATAATGGCAGCAAAAACTGTTCATTGAAATTAAAGTGTGAGGGTGAAAAGAATTATAGCACCAGAACTTCATTTTTATATTCTGCTGTGTGCAAATGTCTTCAAGCAGCTTGGGACGCATCTGAATCACCAAGAGATGAAAAAGAAATATAAAATACTTGTGACAGTGGCTATCCTTTATACTGACAGGGATTTCTCTTAAATTCAGAGCGCTACAACATAAAGCGTTCACTGACAAAGCAAAACACAAACTTTAATGCCTTTAACTTTTTCTACCACGGGTCTTGGTGCAGGGCCACCACACCGATGCGAGATCTCGCTCCCAAGTCACGGTATTAAATCACACGTTTATTTACGTGTCCGCGGCTGTTTACGAACAGGACGGAGACTCCGAGCATACTCACATTTTACTCTACACGCAATAAGGTAAACACACGTTTTACAAGCAGTTTTTCCTCCCGGGCTCTTTGCGAAGGGGCCGGTGCCGACAGGGTGTGAGCCCGTCCCCTCACACCCCTGCGCTCCCAGCCCTGCGGACACCCCCGGGAGAAGGGAGGAGCCCTCCGCAGCACCCGCACCGCACTCCCCGAGCCGGTCCCAGCCCCGGGCAGCCCAAACCTCCCGCTCCCCCAGCCCCGGGCAGCCCAAACCTCCCGCTCCCCCAGCCCCGGGCAGCCCAAACCTCCCGCTCCCCCAGCCCCGGGCAGCCCAAACCTCCCGCTCCCCCAGCCCCGGGCAGCCCAAACCTCCCGCTCCCCCAGCCCCGGGCAGCCCAAACCTCCCGCTCCCCCAGCCCCGGGCAGCCCAAACCTCCCACAACCCCGACCCCACTCTCACCTCCCCGCTCGCCGCCGGGCGCCTCAGCCCTTACCCGCCCCTCCTGCCCCCCACCTGCCAACACCGCGGCCTCCCATTGGGTGTCCGTTCCGGGAGCCGCGCTCCCATTGGCGCAGAGCGCAGGGCCGGGCCCTCCCGGCGTGCCCGGCCGCTGCCGCTGCCCGCACCCGACATGGCGGCGGCCGGCGGGGCGCGGGGCCGCACCAGCTTCCAGCGCCGGGCCGGGGCCGGAGCCCGCCCGGCCGCCCTGCCGGGCACCCGGCCCGCGCTGCGACACGGGCAGCTGCTGCTCTCCAGCGGGCTGCCCTCCCTCGACTGTGTGCTAGGTTGGTGGGAGCGGGACCGGGACCCGGCGCTGCCCCTCTCCCTCCCTGCCCCGTGCCGGGCCCTGCCCGCCCTGCGCCCCCCGTGACCCCGCGGCGGCTCCCGCAAGGCTTCTCCCTCCTCCCCGCAGCTCCCGGGACTGGGGGGAGGACGACGGGAAGGAGGAAGGGGCAAGGCAGGGTCCGCTTCCCTGGCAGGATGAGCAGGTTGCCGTGCCCTGCCATCGGCCCGGGCAGTCTCGGAGCGCAGCCCTGCCCTGTGGAGCCCCGGGGCACCGCGTCCCTGTCGCGTTCCGCGGGCGCTGTCACACAAGGGCGCCGAAGGGCTCGGGTTTGAAAGCCGCGTTCGCTGGATTAACGCGTGGTGTAGTTCTGGTTCTCCGGCGTGGCACTGGTCGGGATGTGTCGGACGGGGTTTCCTGTCACAGCGGCGTCACTGAAATGCCCCGTTTCGAGGGGTTGCGCCGGTGTGAGGCTGTGCTGTCTGTGCCTCTGCCTTTGCCTGCTCGCAGTGTCAGGAGGGTCCCGTGGACTGATCTGTTGTGGCTATTGCTGTGTTATCATCTGTGGCATGAACTGGCACCTCTATGGGATTGGGAACTAATTAATTTCACTGTTTTATCTGTATGCACTAAGGCTGTGTGACCCCTTTACTAACTGCTCACTAAATGCATCTTTAGTGTACATCAACGTAGGTCAACTACTTTTAGCTAGTTTAGGTACTTTAGCTTTGTTCATTCATCCTTGGAGCACATGGAATATAGGAATATATCGCTTTTTTCTTTTTCTGAGGATATTCTGTATAAGTAATGATAAGTATAAAAGTTGTATCCATTTTGTAAAGAACTTTTTGCAGCCTGTGTATCATTTGTTTGTTTGTGCATGTCTGCACTTTCATCAGGGATTAGCATCGTTGTGGAGAAGGCTCTTCCTCCTTTAAGAGAGCAGTATTCATTGAGTGTAATTTGTGAAACCCTTTAATTGCATAAATAGAAGATTTGCTTTGAAAATTCCAGTTCTTCTTCATGTTCCCTTTTATAAACAGTGGATTTTTGCACAGCGTGGCTCAGAAGATGTGGACAGCTCCCATGCTGGCAGTCTCCTAAATTTCCAGGCACTTAGACACACAGTTAGTGGTTTGTCATGGAAGCTGAGGACACTTTCAATGAACCCAGGCTCCCTTCTGAAGTACGTTTTCCTTGTCTTTTAAATGTTTAGTAATTCCCTGACCTTGCTAATTTTTATACTTAAATATCAAGGAAGTTTTTCAACCCTAGGAATAGCAACTTGTCAAAATACTTTTAAGATAGTTTTTGGGTTCTGGCATCTTTGAAAAGCTGTAAAACTCTATATTCCTATGTAAACCTTTGGTAAGCTCCTAGCCCTTGAATCACTGATTTCTGAGGGCTGAGTGGGCAGGCCAGGAAAGACTTGTGCCAAACATGGTGACTATAAAAAAGTTCCCATTGGTTCCAGGTATTAGGCATTGTTGGAGACAGACCATCTGTACAGAATCACTGATTTTGGAGACAGGGGAAGGACCTCAAGAATTCACCTTCTGCAACCTTCAAGGAGGCTCAGCACCAAATTCCAAGTTATTTGCTCAGGGCTTTGTCCAGTTGAGTCTCGAAAATCTGCAGTGGCGGAGATTTCACAGCAGCTCTGGACAACCCAGTCCAATACTTACTTCTTTTTGTAGGGAGTTTTCTTCTTCCTTATATCCACTGGGAACTTTTCCTGCCCTCCCTCAGCTAAGAGCTCAGCTGTCTGCTCAGTAGCTTCTCTTAGTTACCATCCCACGGCCTTCAGGTCTTCCTCTCTTCTCCAGGTTAAACAAGCCCAATTCCTTCAGCCCCTTCTCTTCAGTCATTTGCCCCACCTTGGTTCCCTTCCACTGGACTCATTTCAGTTTATCTTTGCTTCTCACTTCGCTTCTCACTTCGCTTTATCTTTACTTCTTTCTTGTACTTTATCTTTACTTCTCAATTCAGCTTATTTATACTTTTTTCTTGTACTGAGTGTCTTGTGTATATACTGGACCTTGTATTCCAGATGTGATCTAATGAGTAAAGGGGATAATCACATCCTTTGACCAACTGACTGAGCCCACTGTGCTGGTGGAAGTGTTGTGCTTGGTCTCCTTCCTGTCCTTTCTGCTTGTGTGTGTGTGGAAATGCTTCATAAATGTGCTGCTTATGTGTTTCTTAAAGAGTGCTTATACTTTCCTTCTTTTGTCTTGCTCACTAGCAGTTAAATAATTGCACAAAATATTTAATTTTTATTGTCACCAGAGACAGAGGACAATCCTTTTTTTTTTAGTACAAGTTTCTAGTGGAAATTGCTATAAACTCTCTTAGTCTATGTTTCATAGACATATTTTTTAGCAGTCTGCAGGCAGTCTTCTAAATCTCTGGCTTTGGGCTTGAATTTAAGTTTGCCTGGTTCAGAATCTGTAACCCAGATACAGCATTATTTGCCAGACATGAAAATACAGCTTAGGAGTAAGTGTGAGTAAGGGAAAGCATGGTGTTATCAGACACAGGTGTAATGAGGAACTGCTGAAGAGAGGAATAGGCAGAGGATACAAGGAGGAATTTCTTTTACCTTACAGCTAGAGGCCTGATTGTTACATTATTGTTGGTCACTCTTCTTAAGCAATGCATTTCCTTTGGGAAAAAAGTGTCGGATGAGTGCTGGATTTCAAATGCCATCTTACCATTAGGGCACTGCATTTTCAGGCTTTCAGTTTACTTCCAAGGTTTTACTTTCAAGACCATATATGCCTGATTTGTGCCAAAGCAGTTCTCTGTAATGATTTGCAGCTATTGTATAATATAATAATCACGTGCCTTGTAAGGAGTGTTTTGTTTCAAGCTGCTTGAAAAAAAAAGATCAGGGATATGCTTCGAAAACAATTGGGACATTTCTCAACTTGCAAAGTTTGTTGTGTTTCTGTCCATAAGATCCTAAATCTCTTTGCTGTAAGTGGCAATGTGGAAAGTTACAGGTCTTGCTTAGTTGTTTATGTGTGCTGCTGCCTTAGATACTGGCAAAAAAAAAAATAAAGTAGCAAAATTAGGAAGAATAACAAGTTCACAGCAGCTTTCTTGGGAAACTCAAAGATTTTACCTCTTCCTTTTTCACTCCATCAGCGTTCCTGCTATTTTTTCCTGTCACTTGTTTTTTGCTTAATTTACTGTTATTGTTACTAATTATAATATGAATATGTAACCATTGTAACTGCAATAGTTTTACATCCCATCTAATAGAACACACTTGGGCAAACTCTTCACTGCACCAGATAATGTAAAGCCAGTCCTCTGACCTGAGCTGGCCTTCAGCAACCAGGGTGTGTGCACATATGTTACAGCTCTGGCTTGTAGAAAGAAACAGTACCATTGATGATTTGAAAATACACCTCCTGAGAATTTTGACTGCACTGTCACAGTGTTTGACAAACAAATTCTCTCTTGTGCAAGCGATTTAAGAGCAGAAGAGACACTACTTCTGTTGTGGCTACAAGTGAACTGTTTATAGCTGAGGGTTTTATGTCCTTATCGCCGTGAGGTAATACATTACTTATGGCTGCTTTGATCGTATTTTCTATGTCAAGCTGTAAATATTTGAGGCATTTGTACGTCTTGACTTGGGAGCATAGCTTGAAAAATCTGCAACGATGAAATTAGTGTGTGACTAAACCCTGTCACTGCGATGTGCTGCTCAAATCGTGGTGCATCGTGGCACGATGACAAAGTGATCCCACTGTGGTTTTAATTCAGGTGTGATGTTATGCAACAATTTATTCAGCCTATGGGAAAGAACTTTGCTTTTTCTCTTCCTTCGGGGTAATTCAACATTACAAGTGCTACAGATATTTGTAGTCCCACCAGCAGAGCTATAAAGATTAAGAAGGTGGTCCAACTCCCACTGGAATCAATTTTAAGTGAAGTTTAATGAACTCTTATAAATTTATAGAGTGAATGATCCTGTTCACTAGAGTCCATCTATGCACTAGAGTGCATCTGTGCAGGCCAGAATTAACTTCTGGAGCCAATGTGATTCAGTTTGCTCCTAACTTTTAAATCAGTACTTAATTGCAGTTGACATACTGCAGTTCCCTTCATGCAAAACACTTCAGTGGGCTGGTTACATATGGCCATCTGAACACTTCTAGGAATTTTTAACCTTCCTGTCACAGTCATATCATTGTTAAATGAAACAGTCTGACGTCAGGTTATTCCACTGTTGTAATTCTTGGAATTCAGATTATAAGCCAATTTACTCTTCACCTAAAATAAAACATGAATTCTTCTTTCGCTGCCTTTGTAAAGGAATTTGCAGGATTGTTGTTATGTCCCAGACATGCCATGAAAGACTTTCCTAGCATCTGTTTTTTCAGATGTGTGTTAGATGTGTATGACCTGTCAGTCCAGGTTTCCTTGGGTGAAATCCTGCCTGTCTCACCACCACGTCTGCTTTCAGGAACAAGACAAAAAGCAGTGGAGCCTGGATTTTGCCTCAAAGCCTTGGGTGGGAATTTTCTAGCTTCTTAGTGTGTCACTTTGCTTCCATCCTTCTTGGTACAAAGGAATATCCCTTGATAGTGATTAATCTGACTTTAATTTGTAGCATGTTTACTCACTTGAGTCATCCAAGTAAAAATCTGCTGGCTCAGACCACACATCACTGCTGTGGTACTTGAGCGTAGTTCTGCAGAGCTCTGCAGGATCTTTTTACCACAATGATGATAGTACAGTATATTGTGAAAGTAATTGTAATGTGCAGTATATAATTACATGTGATGTATAATTATTTCATAATAGAGAATTGTAGTAAGTATTGCAAAGGTAATTAAAATGTTGTTCACTTTTATATTTTTAAATTCCCCGTTATCACCTTTCTTTGACTTATAAACTAAGAAAAGTTAATTGTTCTCTAACATAGTATTAAAATGAAGTCTTACTTTATTCTTCATTTTGTTTTGTTTCCAGGTGGAGGCGTAGCTGTTGGAACCCTTCTTCTCATTGGTTAGTATAGAATATATATTAATGCATTCATTAAATAGCCTGTCTTTTCACTGTTTTTTGAAGTCAGACTTTAAGAAAGTGTAACTCTCAGGTCCATTCACTTTGTGTAGCCTTCAGAGTGGACTGTTGTCTGTTTCAAGAATTATTCAAGAATTACTGGAGGTAAATCAAAACCTTAATTTTGGACACGCAAAGAATACCACAGAATTCTGTTTGAAGGGATGGTGTTCAGCACATTCCAGGACTTCCTAGCAAAATATTCAAATTTCTAAACTATTTGATTTCCTGTAAGATTCAGGCTGTTTATGGTCACTAAGGGTTTTTGGTTCTTTTTTGTAAGTTTGGCTGTCTGAGGAAGATATTTAATGCAGCATCTTTTAATCTTTTGGTTGCCAGAATCAGCTGAAAGATGATGGAAGGCTTTCTGTGAGGATGTGGATGAGGCACTCTGAGATGATTTAATAAGTTACAGCAGAGTTCCCTTTGCAGACCAAATTGCAGCTGTGTGGGCCCACATCTCCATTGCAGCTCCATTGCCCAACTTTCCTTAATAATTCCTTTTAAATGTTTATCAGATTAATGGTTCTTATGAGGTTCTTATGAGAAACCTTCAAGCTTGTTACTTGCCCTGTAGCAAAAAGAACTGATACTACAGGGAGAAAAAAAAAGAAGAGTTATTAGAGAAATACATGTACTTATGTGGAAAACATCTGCATCTGTAATCTGAGCTCACATCTTGAGTAGTGTAACAAATTTAATATTGCCTTTTCATACCAGGTTGCTGGAACAAAAAATTAGGATCCTAGGGACAACAGGTCTAACTTTTAGTTTTCCAGTCGCTGCAATATCTCTGAACTGTTGGAGTTCACACAACTAAAAAGTTGTGTGATTGTTTTCTCCCACTGAATAAGATGGAAAGTACCTCAATTTCCTTATTTATAGGACTGACAAAAACCTATCCCATTGGAAAGCTATCTGAGATACAAGAAGCAATGTCTGAGTGCCTACATATTAAATTCCCCAAATCCTCCACTAAATACTTAAAAATTAATCATTATTTCTAGTTTAAAACGTGGATGACAGGAAGACAGCCACCAATAGGTATGAAATTGTAGGTAAAGTCATGTAGATAAAAATAAAAAAGATGTTTTTACACTTAAAAAGACCCGTTTCTTGCAGAAGATTGAAAGTGCAGTAAAGCATCATTTTGGCTAAATCCTGAGTGAAGGATTTAACAGGTTGTTAAGAATCAGTGTAAAATTGGAGTTTACGGACAAAATCTGAAAAACTGTGCTCCAGAGTAAGAAAAAAGTAGCAAAAAATTATCAAGTTTAATAAAGATTTTTCTTTGGTACCTCAGTAGTTATGAGAAGCCCAAAGGAAGGCCTGAGTAGTTACTCAATGAAGCAGAAAAACTGGTCAACAATGACACTGGAAAAGGCAAAAAATCTTTCCCATTGTGTCCTTCCCGGTGTTCCAGAGTATGCTTTTTACTTCCAAGAAGTTTAGTCTCCTGATCACTTGGAAGTATTTCTGGTAATGTTGTTTAGAATTCCTTGGCATGGAATTTATGCAATGGCAAAACCATCATGTGTCCAGTGATAGGCACCAGTAGACAAGCAGCTCTTCAGTATGTGTGCTCTTTAGCCTTAAGACAGATTTACTCAGTAATTTTCATTTGTTTTCTGAAAGGGATGAAAACATTGTGGTCCCAATATTTTATCTGTGTTTAGTTTTGCTGTGGAATGACAACCATCACCTGGGAGATTGCCTTTGTATCTAAAATTTTGGTTAAGTATTTTGAATGGTTGCAATATTTTGAATTAGTCTTAACACTGAAGAACTAAACAGTGAGATTTGGGGAAGATCTCTTTTAAATCTCTTTTAGCCACTATAGGAATTACATCGTGCTATCTTTTGTTGTTTATAGGGCTCATGTAACCCGCACTAGAGGCTGAAAAACATTTTCTGTTTGCCACTGAGCAAGCTGATTACTCTGCCTCTTACTATGGCTTGTTGTTATTTTAAGGGTAGTTTTTATTTCTGCATTTTATCCATCATTACAGACAGTTATTGATGTGTCACTGAATCTTAGAAAATGTTGATTTTTACATGAAGTATATAAATGAGTGTATGTTGTTGTGCAGCTTAAGTAATTTGAATAGTTGCCTGCCAGAAAAAATAACTGACATTGCCTAATTCAAGCCATTTTCAGTTGGAGAAGAGCTGCAATCTTGCTGTGCTAAAGGAAGAAGGAAAAAATGATGTTAGATCCTGTTATATTTTACATACAGATCAGAGATTATGAGACTAGATTCATTTTGTTTCGTCTCCCCATTGCAATACTTGCTGCCCGTTCCAGTAGACAAACTGGGTGGCATCAGATGAACCCACTTGAGCTGAGCTCAGTGGCACCACATGAAGTGAGCTCTGTGTTCTGATGGAAGAGATGGCAGGACTCAAATGGTGTGAACGTGGCAGGATTTTTTGCCTGAACCTTTTTTTTGACTCTCCTCTGAGCTCGTGGCTGGCAATACTGGTGGTAGGTCTTAATTTACTTATCCTTAATGTCAGTTGTGTATTTGTGATCTGATATTAAACTTAAGTCTCCTTCAGATCTGAAAACTGATTTCTTTCCCCAAATAAGACCTATGTTATTTTGAAACATATAATTATATACGAGAAGTGTATACGAGAAGCATGAACTATATTTATTTGTGACTCATTAGTCTAAAAATTTTTAGACTAATTTTTAAAGTTGGTGCAGGTAGAATTACAGTTGCATTGTTAGAATATCCTGTCAGTATACCAAAAAATTCTGTCATGAGATTAGTCTAGGCAAGCTTAATATTATCAGGATTGAAGCTGTCAGTGATAAACCTCCTAGGAAGATCTTTCTGTGTTGTACTCCAAGTGTTATAAAAAGGTTAAATTCTTCCCCCTTCCTTCAACATTCTCTAAGGCAAGAATAAATTGCATTACTTTTAGCTTAGCTCCCTTTGCAAATTAAATGCTCATCTTCATTATTTGACACATTATCTTGGTTAATTTAACCAAATAATAGTAGATTCAGGGTATTAAAATATTTATTTTAACTGTTGTGTTCTGAGATGTAGTGATGGCACAGGTTACTTGCTAAGACTGTAAAATATTGCTTGAAATCTAAGTGTACAATTTTTTAAACTCAATTCATAATAAAGAGCACCGTGATTTTCAGTTGAACTTAATTCTATAGTATATTCTTTTGACAGTGCTTTAATTACATGAGAATTAGAGAGCTGAGGCATATGGTAATCTCACACAAGACCCTGGTTACTAGAGGAGCTTGAAACTTCCTGCCCTTTGTTCATGTAACAAGAATTTTTAGGATTTTAACTAGTCCTTTAGTTTCAAGAAATCTTGCTCTAGTGGGTTTGTAACAAGCATTCTGATGTGACACCATCAAACCAGTTTGTTTGAGGTAAATGTGAGACCACTTTCAGCCTTCCAGAAGAATCTCTCCTTCCAAAACAAGTTGTGTGGCTGTTGATTAAGCACAGTCCTTCCCTCCTCCCATCTCCCAGGTGCTTCAACCTGGTTTGTGTCTGTTTTGCCAGCCTGAGGAAGAGTTTCCAGAAGGATGTTACTTTGTTTTTAAACATAAGCCTTGTTTATGTGACACATTCTGTGCTGTGAGTTACAGCCCACTCATAGATCTCTCCAAGAGATCTCTCCTGGGTACCCTATAAGAACATATTCTTACCTACCTCTAAGATGCTCTAGTTTTGACAAGGTCACTGACAGCTAAATGTTTTAAAGATTATCAGTTGGAGGGTTTTTGTTGGTAGCTGAGGTCAGTTATTAAAAGTTAAAGATGTCTGGCTAAAAGCAGGTCTATACTTGTACATTCTAAGCCCTGAAGCAGTTTCAGCTACTTTAATTAGCTACTATTATTTTTGTTAGACATGCAATTTAACCTGACTGGTAAGAGCTCTCTTCACTTGTCAATATAAGTGAATTTATCTTCTTTTTAAAGCTGAAAAAGATAATCTCAAGAGAGGTACAAAACAGTGATTTGCTGAATATAATTCTACAAAATACCAGTTACCAGAATTCGCCCTCCTGAAGTATGGCCAAATGCCAAATATTGTAACTTATATGTTTGACAACTCCGTTTTGGCATGTGCTAATTAAATGCAAGTGACACAAAGTATATCCCCTCCAGCTTAGTAAATGTGGACATTAGAAAAGTATCTTTTAAATGGAATTTCAGATTATTAAAATAATCGCATCTTATGACCTGCAGCAGTTCAGAGAGATGTTTCATAGCTACAGAAAGACACACCTTAGGTCACAGGACCCTACTGTAGAACTATCTGCTGAAAAAATTATCGATACTGATGGGCTATGACAGGCTTTTGGCAGCTTTAGGGCAACCTGTCTAGACTTTGTACAGAGGGAAAAAAAATAAGTTATCTGTACATTACATTGTTGCAGTCCTACTTTTCCCTTTTTACAGCTCCCGCCGTTTTGAGCAATTATACTACAAATTACTGCTGGACTTTTTCAAAGAGCTTCCTGTTGTTTATTATACTGGTGTTTAAAAGTCAGGTGTTATAGATATGATCTGTAAATGTTTGTTATCTTATGGTAGATTTTGTTCGTGACTTTTTGTTCCTCCTCTGGTTCTAGAGCTTGTTCTGTATCCCTCTCCTGAAACATGGATATCTCTGTGCAGAGGGGGTATTTATAACTAGAGAGGTTTTTATTATTTACATATCAATCACGTATTTACATATCAATTTTTATAATTCCATTTTTTCCTTAATTTTTTTATAAATTATATATTTGCAGTGCCTTAGTGATATCAGTGTCTCACTGATTGCCCTTTGTCTTCTGTGCCCTAGATAAAATCCAGGGCCTCGAAATTTTACAGCTAATTTTGTGACCCACAAGTTTCTTTGAGTAGTAGCTGCAGACAGTCTGTGCACAAAGGTGTTGAGAATGTCTTATGTATCCAGTGTAGTGGTGAAAAGAGCCATAAATAGGAATTGGTCTTTATCCTTAGTATTCCACATGGGTATATGTTGGAATTCTTTGCAGTCATACTGACAATGCTGCTTTTTCTGGTGGTTCCAGCCATGAAAGAATGCTGTTGTGGAAGGAGACCAAAGGGTAACAATCACAATAAACTATTTTATTTATGTCCCTATCTGTAGGATCAGAAGAGGTTTTTGTCCCGGAGACAATATGCATAACTTCTAGGTAAATAATCTCTTTTCCTCGTGTAGTTTTACGCTTCACTAGTTACTCACCTGCTACTTAGCTGTGGAACACTCTTTGTTCAGCAAGAATCAGAGAAAGCCCAGAAAAGGGTCTGCAGCTGCAAGAGTCTTATTTGTTTATGTGCCTTATTAGCTAGAAGTGAAGTTCCCAGTGGAGGCTGCTGACAGCACAGCCCTTTGCTGTGCAGGCTGAGAATAAAGATTTGGGCCAGGTTGGTCTCAAGTGTTTGACTCGAATGAACTCAGGTGTTAGTTCCTACACCTTACAGAACGAAGGTGGTTCTTCTGGAAATTTTGGAAAAGTAGAGAGAACAGTTGAAAATTTATCAGAACAGTTAAGTCCAAGCATTATCAGCAAAGTGTTTCCTTCCCTGATTCTGTGAAAATAATCAGTGAGCTGCTGAGGTACCTGTGCTAAATGATTTGTTTGTTTGTTTACAAGAAGAAAGCGAGCTGCACTGCTGTGGTTTTGAATAGTAATGTTACAATTGAAGCCAGGGTACAATGGATGCTATCAGAAAAGCCCCATATGGGTGCACTTTAGATCTTTTGAATACCACAAAAGTTTAGTGACCTAGAAATGAATCAATAAAAAGCCATCCTCTATTTGACAAATTGAAGAACTGAGGGATTCTTACAGATGCATTGACTTTAACAATTCCAGATACACTGTTTGTAAAGGCTTTCTGAGACACATTTAATCCTTAGAGTACTGTAGCAGACTATGAGGTGGTTTATATTTAGATCACTCTCCAATACTTAATTTCCTATTTTTACTGTAAGTTTGCTGTTATGAAAATCAGTGTAAGCAAACCAAAGGAAAGGCTAATGCTAAAATGATGTGTCCTTACCCTGAATGTGAATGTCTTTAATTTGCTGCACTGACAGAGCCTTATTGTTTTGCAAAATACATTTTGGGTATGGCAGTGTAAGAACATCTCTGGTCCTCTTATATTACAAATAAGTCAATGAAATTAATTATCATCTTGATTAAGTCAATAAAAGGGTTTATATCCGTGTTCCTTATTGCTTTTCTTCTACAGTTTGTTTTATGTTTCAGCATTTCAAATAAAATTTGAGTAAAAATTCTTCTTTACTACTACAGATTTATTTCCTCATAGTTTAGTTAAATAATCATCAACACACAGTGTGATTTCTTACATTTATGCCCCAGTTTATGGAGTTTGTGTGTTATGTTTGGCACAAAATTGAGCATGTTGTTTACTTTCTAAGGAATAATTAGTATCAAAAATGATGATCCAGAAAGACTGTCTATACAGCTACTGCATGTACACAAACCATAAAACAGTTAAACTAGATATTTGCTTATATTCCATTAAATATCAGTTAAGTCCTGTCTGCATGCAATACAACTCGGGTTTTCTGTGCCTCAAATGGTGGAGAAGGTGAACTTTATCCTACAGATAAAAATTAATAAACCAAGATTTTTTGTTTGCCAAGGATGATGTTAAATGTCACAGCTGAGGATCCTCCCAGAGCGCCCGAGGAGTGTTCCTTTTGCTCTTTTTTTTGAAGAGAGGGAGATCTGACAAAATAGTCTCCCTCCACTGACATCTGCTGCAGTGATGTGATTACAGGGTGGCTTCTTTCAGGTAGCTTAGACAATTTAAAAAAAAAATGTAGATGTCATGCTGTCACTTTGATTTTTAGGGGGCCTTGGTTCTTAAATTGAGAGCTTCGTAGATGGAGATTAGCACGTGGAAATCAATGTACTGTGGATAATATATTACCAATGATATTGCAGTAAGCAGCCAAAGCATAAATAACTGGAGAGAGCCAATGTTTGAGGGGCAGGAGCTGTAGGTGTTCCTGGCCTCCAGTTATAAGGGAGACTCTGTGTATGGGTTTTATTTTCCTCTTGTTGAAACAGTTCAAAATCTAAGCAGGCTCCAACGACTGTATTTACAAAATAAGGCTGTAATACTTCTTCATAACTTTAGAAAGTGTCTGTTCTGCTTTTTGCTTTTGCAGCTTTAGTGCTTCAGTTTTCCCTGGGTTGACTTGTCTCCATCCTGGTCTCGTACCTGGATCTGCCTCCTCAGTCACCACACAGTGTGTGGAGCTGAGTTACCAGGGAGACAGTTCTTCAGTAACACTAGTCATGGCTTTATAAGGATGTGAGAGTAAACTGTATCAAATATTTAACTAAGAGCTCCAAACTTCCAAGGAAATTGCAGCTTGTAATTCTGTCAATGCTTTCAGGAATCAGTCCTGCTGAACTGTTAATAAGGAGCCCAGCACTGTCACCAGTGAGCTTTTGTCAGTACTGTCCTTTTTATGATACAGGTCTGTCCATATCATTACACTGCTGTGTTTTAAAAAATGTGTGTTTTTGCAAATACAGAAGGTTAATAAGGCCTACTAAGCAGGTTAACAGTATCAAAGATAACTTATATTAATACAGTCTGAGTTCTTAAAACCTGAAGACTCTACAATAAACTGGATATATCAATGGCAAGTACCAGTAATGGTAGTGCTGTGATTATTGTATTCCCTTTGGCTTCTTTGGATATCCAGTTTTATTTAATCTCCTGTCTCAGTGTTGTGTTATGAAGCATTTTTCTCTACGTTGAAATTCTGCTTTGGAGTCACTCCTAGTTCATTGCTTGGTTTTAATGAAAGGGAAACTCTTAGATAAATATTTTTCCATACAACAAAATATGTCATCTTGACACTATAGGGATTATTATGAAGAAGAAAGAAATTTAAAGATACAAATTGTCCAAATTTTAAGTGTATCCCAAATACTAAATTTAGAAGTGAAATAAAAAAAGCAGGAAATAAATTGTTTTACCCGATACCCCGTGGGAGTTGGGGAATGTCTCTTGGAGACCTATTTCTTTTCCAGTGATTTTGAATACTTGTGGTTTGAATTTCTTGTTAATCTTAGCCCTTTTGACTCTTGAGCTCCAAAACATTGTATTTTCATACATATTGAAGTTACAATATTTTTGTTAGATATGAACGACAACTCTCTAATTTTCTGTCTTTGTTATTGGTTTTCTGGTTTTTTGGGTGTTTTTTACTATTTCATATGTGTAGGGAGGAAATTGTTTCCAAGTCACACAAAGAATGGATTGAGTCTTGTTTGTTCTCTATAAAGAAAATCTCTCTGTGTTTTTCTGCCTCGACATCCCTGTCTGTTGTCTTCCAGCAGCCAGATTAACAGATGAAAAAGTAAAATTGTGCATTTACTTTTCTCCCAAACAAAATATTTTAGATATCTTTCTAAATAAATGTCAAGAATGTGTTGTTCCAACACACATTGGAACATGATCTAAAATTTTATGGGGCAGTTAATGACATAGTTATATTGTTGGGAACTTTTTTTGCTGGCATTAGCACTGCTAATGTTGGTATTTCCTAAAATTAAGGAACATCAGAGGTGGTTCAGATTTCATTGTTATGTACTCATTCACTTCCCTGCTAACTTTAAGTTAAGTTTTAATTGTATGAAGTTCATTAAGATTTTCTAATTCTGGTAATTTCTGATACTCGCAATAAAGAAGCTGAAGGAAATATTGGCCTTTCTGAAGCCAGTGGGAGTTTGTATTTTCATGTCAGTAGGCCAGTATCCACAATGTCTGTTAACAAGTATCATCTCATTTCTTAAACTGTAAATTCATGTGTCTTTTGAGTGTGTTCCTGACTTTGCTCTGGTTAGCTCTCAAAAACAGTGTTGCACATTACCCGTTTTTTCAATACAGACATTGGGTTTGCCTGGTTTTGTAGTTTTCACAGCTTTGAAAGAAATGCAGATGTAAGAATGTCTCAGTAATAAATGATACCTCTATATAGCTTTAGCATGCCCAAATATGATTGAATTTTGAAAAGCATCAATTAATAGATGTTTTAAGCAAGTTAATGTTTTAAGGACTAAGAATGTAAATATTAATATAATTCTGCTAAATTAATAAACCTCATCCCATTAACCCATAAAATTCAGTAATCTTAGTTGATGTTTATGGGAAGCCTTGTAAGGAAGATAATACTGATTGCTGTATCCCATCCCTAATTAGAATGAAATGCATGATTGAGAGCTTTTTCTCTGTCTTGAAAAATTCTAAATGCAGTATTATAAGCATTATGTTTAAAGTTTTGGAATCCTATTTTACCTCTGTTGTACATTATACACTGCAGGAGACAGAGCAAAAGGGACCTTTTACTGTGTTGTGAACATACAGGTGGGTGATTTATCTAACAACAACAAAAAAAAATTCCAACTATTCTTGTTTTCACAGAGGAAGATAAATACGGCCTTTACTCCAATTTGTTGTTCAAGTATTTTCTGGCAGAGGGAATTGTCTGTGGACATGACCTGTTCGTTGCTTCTGCTAAAGAGCACCCTGACAACATCTTGAAGGTAAATAAGACTCCTTGCTTTTGATAAGCAAGGCTGTAATCTCTTGATGAACTTGGGCACGTTTTAAAGTGTGTGTATTGTGTAGTAACGAATTAATTAATCTTGGTGATTCATAAGAATGTGTTGGGAAGTACAGGAGTATTTGCAGTAGCCAGATTTGGGAATTAAATTTAGCTCCCTAGCTTCCATCTATGGACAGTGGAGTAAGATCCTCCCAAGGCCAAATCAGGTTTGGAGCCAGCTTGTCCTTTATTTTGGTTGTGGATAAAACCCACTGGATTAGTGGGATGGTTTGAGTCAACCCAACTCTTCCCAGTTTTGACTGGCCTGTCAGGAAGAGTAGTTAAGGGGCTTCCAGTATGTTATGGTGGAAACAGTGCACAATTCGTGTAGATGTTTATTGTAGTTTCCCATAGAGAATAAAATTACCATTTAAAATCTTTACAAGTTCCTTTACACTTACATTTCGTTCTGACTCTTTTTCTGTGCTTGGGAATGTGGTCAGCTTTGGGTCAGGTCATACAGAAAGGATCCTTTCAGACTTCAGTGGACTCCAAATCAAACACTGATAGTTTCTGTTATAAGAAAATTATATAAGGGGAGAAGCCTGATCAACTGTGCAAAAAAATGCTGAAGTGTGAGGATAATCTTACAAAATTTCATTAAATATTTTATGTCTTTCTAAGGCTGCGTTTTTCTAATATCAGAAGTAACATATAATTTACTGATTACTTCTGCATCAAGTGAAGTCTGGCTATTTCCTTAAGTGTCTTCAGAGACTATTTCTGGACAAAATGATTACTTTTCTGCTTTCCTATCTAGTGGTGGGAAATTCTATGCCTTACCTATTGAATGTTCAGTATTCAGGAAGAAGTATATTCTTAATGAAATTATATGACTGCATTGTGAAAAATCTAATTTATTTTTTTTAATGGTCTTGAAAGTAAAGAGGGTTCCTTTAGGGGTGAAATTTTTATCATTTTTTCTTGTGGTTTAGAGTGAAGCCAAAAAGATAGGTTACAAATTGATTTTTAAGTATGAATTACGTAAGAACATGCTATATTTTTTAATAATAATTGGTTTTAAATAACTAATAATCAATTCATTGACTCCCCGGCTGTACCATACATGATTCCTGCAGTTGTGTTCCTTATCGAATTAAATTATTCAAATGAGTATTTTTATTGCACTGTGTTAAATTTTCTTAAAATAGAGTAGCAAACATGCATTTTATTCTTCTTTCATTCACCTTTGATTCAGTTGTTCACAGCCTGTCATATTTTTCCTAGCTCCTTGATGCTTTTGCAAGTTAATGAACAGACATTGTTCCCCTCACCTCTCCTTCTTGTACCAGTGTGTTTGTGGTCAGTTAGTTTGATGTGCCTTATCAAGCTCTGTTGTCTGATCTGGAATAATTTTCCCTCTTAATTTCCAGGGTTGGACACTAGGCAATAACACTGCATTCCTCTGTTTTACCTCCACAGTGGTGTTACTGTAAGAGACTATAAATGAATGGGCAATGCTGCTGCAGGAAAGTCGAGGAAAACATGGTTTTGTTTTGTTGTCTCCCTCCATTTGTGTTTTTGTGTATCCAACAGTATTCTTGTCTGTGCTTTTCTTGACTATTCAGCACTTCCTAACAAGGCACAGCAGAGTTGATTTCTCTGATTTGTATTGTGTCAGTGAGGTAACCCTCACTCAGGTGCTTCAAGAAGTCCTCTCCTGTCATAAAAATGAGCTCTTTGGGATTTGGGTGACTCCACCAAGTCAGGATTTTAATACAGCATATCTGACCATGGAATAATGTGGCATTTTATTTAATGAGATTGTTATTTAACGAGATTAGTAATTAATTTATTTTCATTATCTGATTGGACTGTATTCTGTACTGGAAAGGCAACATAGACATTGTACATATCAACCTGAATTACACATTATGCTTGGGGTTTATTTTATAAAATTCAAATATGGATTCAATAAATTCCATGGCTAGTATTCTAATTAGCTGGTGTATTACATAAAGGCAGTTCATTAACTGTCCATATTAAATGTCTATATAGTGTGGTCAGTCTATTTATATGTTCAGTTCTCTGCCAAGATGCCATAATTGCCCTATTCCAATTTTGTGATGTGATTGGAAGTTTCTTGAACCTATAACCAAGACAAATATTGCTGGTAGTAGGAAGGGGAAAAGACATTCTTATAGACCATAATTATCTTGAAATTGTGTATAACTAAAAGACAAGCAGAGGATAAAAAGCCCTGATCAGCTGCCTAAGATATATTATATTGCCACCCACCAATTTATCCATCATCCTTTGAAAACATATTCATGCCTTTTGTAGTCAAAGCTCCTTCAGGAAACTGGCATTAAGATGTAATGCTGAAAAATTATACACCTGTGGTAAAACCTACAGAACTATATACATGCTGGTTTCTAGAAAGTATTTTAAACATTTGGGAGCATTTCTGTTCATTCCATATTCTTCAAAAAAGGCAACTTTTTACTGTAAGGGCATAAGTACTTATGTTATAGTATATAACATAAGGAATTATATGGTGACTTCTGTGATTGATCATAAAATAAACATTGTTTGCACTGGTAAACGGAAAATATGTTCAGTAATAAAATTACTTCAAATTTGGCATTAAAATTCTACAACTACCTAAACTGCCTATAAAAGCATTTCATTACCTTTATTCCTAATTATTTTATTTAGGCTTGAGGGGGGAACTGGTGCTCACAAGTTTTAATGAGAAAAAAATGGGTTCTATTTGAGTTATAGTTCACCTTGACACTAAACATTGCTCTCAGTTGAGTTGCTTTTGCTGTGCCAAGAGGGATGGAGTGCAGCCTCAGCTGGCTGACAACACCAAGCTGTGTGGTGCAGTCACTTGCTGCAGGGAAGGGAGGCCATCCAGAGGGACACGGGCAGGCTGGAGAGGTGGTGGGCTCATGGGAACCTCAGGAAGTTCAAGGGGCCAAGAGCAAGGTCCTGCACCTGGGCTGGGGCAATCCCAAGCACAGATAGAGGCTGGGTGGAGAACAGACTGAGAGCAGCCCTGAGGAAAAGGACTTGGGGGTTTTGGTTGCCAAAAGCTCAACAAGAGCCATCGGTGTGCACTCACAGCCCAGAAAGCCAAACGTGCCCTGGGCTGCATCCAAAGCACCGTGGGCAGCAGGTCAAGGGAGGGGATTCTGTCCCTCTGCTCTGCTCTGCTGAGACCCCACCTGGAGCACTGCATCCAGCTCTGGGGTCCCCAACATAAAAAGGGCACAGACCTGCTGGATCAAATCCAGAGGAGGCCACAAAGATGCTCAGAGGGCTGGAGCACCTCTGCTGTGGAGACAGGTTGGGTCTACTGTGGTCAGCCTGGAGAACCAAAGGCTCTGAAGAGACCTTCCAGCAGCCTTTCAGGGCCTGAAGGGGGTTACATGAGAGCTGGAGAGGGACTTTTTACAAGGGCATGTAGTGACAGGACAAGGGGGAGTGGCTTTAAACTGGCAGAGCACAGGTTTAAATTAGATATAAGGAATAAATTCTTCACTGTGAGAGTGGTGAGGCACTGGAACAGGTTGCCCAGAGAACTTGGGGATGCCCCATTCCTGGAAGTGCTCGAGGCCAGGTTGGATGGGGCTTTGAGCAACCTGGTCTAGTGGAAAGTGTCCCTGCCCATGGCGGGGGGTATGAATGAGATGGTCTTTAAGGTCCCTTCCAACCCAAACCATTCTGTGATTCTATGATTTGTCTTGAAAGGAAGACTTATAGGTCTTCCTTTGTGCTGGGAAACAGAAACCAGCATCCCCTGTAGCACTACAGTTTCCCTGTGGGACCCTGGCCAATGCTACATCAATGACCATTCCATTTGGTACCTGGAAGCCTGAGGTGGCAGAGTGGGAGGTCCAGAACTCCTTTCTAGAACCGTGTCTGTTCATCTCCTGTGAAGAAGTTGAACACTTGATTCCATTATTGCCTTTGAATAGATTTTTTTGTTTTGGAGATGGAATTTTATTGCAGGATACTTCTGCTCTCCACTGAGATTGCCTTTTGGAGATTCTCTTACAAGAAGAAAGGATAAAGAGCACATCCTTCAAGAAAAAAAATGTACTTTGACACCATCTGTGAGCCTGTTGCTTACGGTGGGAATCCTTTTCCTACCTCTGCTGTCTTGTGTCATTGTACTTCCAAGTTTAAAAACAAGGGTGCAATTTGCTCTCTAGAGAGTTACACAGAATATTCTCTTGAGTAGTAAAGCCCTCAGTGTGCCCCTGTGTCAGATGCACAACCTCCCTGTGTTTGCTGGATGCATCCTGAGGTCACACCACTCAGGTGGAACCACATGAGTGCTGTAGGATACCACAGTGAAAGGGAAAAGGCAGCTTCCCTTGGTGCACCTAGAGAAATGTAATGGCTTATTAAAGATAAAAAAACCTCCAAACCCAAGTTTTTTTAAAAAATTCTTACCAAGCTGAAAAGATCTCTACAATAAAAGTTAAAAGTATATTTTAAAAGGCATTTTGCTTAAGTATGTAATTTGAAAGGACTCAAAAAATTCTTCCTCCAACAAGCTGGTTATACTTGGGCAAACCTGAAGGACAGAAAGTGCACATTTACTCTTTTCCTGCTGAAAAGGTGAATGCAGGGAGAGCCTGTTATTTCCAGGGTCATTTAAAAAAAAAAAAACAACAACAACAATAAACCCCCCGCTGAGCTTCAGTGCTGTGTTACTGTGTATGCTAACAACATCTGGAAAGAAAACATAGCTGTCTACATGGACTTTTTTTATTCCAGCAATGTACATTCAACCGTGTAAAATGGTTGCTTACGTTTTTCCCTCACAGATATGATTCCAAAACATTGTTTTGTCAAAAGGAAAAATGCAAACCTGGAAGAAATGATCAGGCTGGTGGCCAGGGCTGTCCAAGCTTCCATTTTCAAAGAGCATTATTCTGACTCCTTTTTCTCCTTCACTCTCTGGTATTGGGAAAGAAGCTGTGT